AGAGAGAGAGAGAGAGAGAGAGAGAACAGAGAGGTGGGGTAACTATATGAGGTTGCAGGTGTGAATTGTCAATCAGCTTTGGCAGGATCATCACTTTATGATGTGTATATACATCAAAACATCAAGTTTTACATATTCAATATACAATTTCACTGGTCAGTTATATCCCTGATAAAGATAAAATACAGTTCTTAAAAATTGAAACATTTAAAAAAATCAACTCAGAGTGCTTGTAGTGTGTGAAGAAAGTGTGCCAACCTCACAAGGTTGATAGTCAATATGTACATTCTAAGTGTCACTATCTCATAAAAGTCATCTTTTTATGCAGCATATACTGTAAGTTGAAGGACATACTCTTTTGTTTTTAGAACAAGTCTATAATACTCCAAGATCTGAGTCATCCTCCAGGCACCTTTGAGATGCTTACCGTGGTTGGGACTTCCTTGGTGGCCTCCTGGTACACTCGTTGCTCTTCAACCAAGTTGCAGGGGAAATAGCCCACCATTCCCATCTCATCCTGGTGGTCACCGTAAACCTGTGTGCCCAGAACAGCAGCAGTCAGGGAAAGCTGATGTCAGGGGGTTTCAGAAGCTTCTTTCCTCATAATGAAAATGACACGAGCCAGAGCTTTCCTTGTGCTGTGAATTCCAGGGAATTCAGAGCAAATCTGAAATTCACTGTTAGCACCAGGAGCTGTGTGTCTGTTCTTTTGGGGAAGGATCTGACTGTCTTGCTACTTTAACATGACTTCACTTTCTGCAGTTTCGTACCTTGCCTGAGGTCTTCTGAATTCTATAAAAAATTAAGGTCCATAAAAGTTTTAAAGCAAATAGACACTCATTTTAAATATGTATACTTCCCACTTCTTGACAATTCAAAGGGACATATTGTAGTGGGTAGCCATTCCAGCTTTGATCTGCAAGTTCCCCATTCTGATTGAATCCTTCATCAATTTAGAGTGTGTCTTTGGGATAACATCAACAATGCTTCATCCCTCCCTGGGCTCCGCTTGCTTTGTGGGTACATTTTAACTCAAGAAAGCAGCTCCTGAAGAACCAAAGAGGCTTCTAACTTTTCCTAAAGGAACATTCTATTTAGACTGACCACTAACACATAACTCTTCCTCTTGGAAAATCCTCTAGACATTTTTTGAAAGAGACAACTTCTATGCAATGAAGATGCCTCAGCATGCATGGTTTTTTTTTTTTGTTTTGTTTT